CTAAGATCTGAAAATTGGGTTATTATTGAATCTCATATGGAGAACTCTACAAGTTTACTTAAAGAGAATCAACATTTTTTCGATTGAGGCGACAATTGATCGGGAAAAAAAATTTATATTTGTTATAATATATTACTTGGTATGTAGTGTGAGTTTTAAATAAAAAGGTGTAAAAAGGTCAAATTTGCCCACTAAGTCAACTGGATAGTGCAATTGGTTCCCCTAAGTAAAAAAAAAAAAAAAAAAAACTCCATTCAAGTCCCTGAAATGGTAAAATTGTTCAATTAAGTCCAAATTGACTTGTTTAATAGGTTAAATCTATGCGGTGTTGATACATGTCCTTTTTATTTTATTTTTTAAACAAAATTTTTATTTATTAAAAATATTATTTATTAATAAAAAAACAGCCACCGACAGCCGTGACTGTTCGACAGGACAGCCACGACCAACGAAGGAAGACGGCCATGGCTGTCTTCTAGATCTGGAACGAGGCCGACGACCATGCCACCATTGTTGTCGTCTCCCTCACAGAGTAATAGCAGCCATAAATCTATTAAAACTTTCCTTCAGCGCTGTTCAAAATCACTAAACTCATCAATTGATGAATTGCTTAGCTTTCCATTGTCGAACTCCTCTCGCTCTCATCTTCCTCTTATGGACACGAAAACGACGACCTCCCTCGCGTCTCCCTGCATTCAGAAAAGCCCGTCAATCTCTCTCGCAACCCTCACAGGGTCTGATTGGTGAAACAAAGGGCATTGTTTTCCGAGAATGGGCGGAGTCTCCGCGGACAGTCCGCAGATGAACTCTTCAGGGAAGATAGTCTTCCACAGTTTGGAGAGAAGCTCAAGCAGTCCAAGCAGTTTGAATGGTGAGCCCAGATACAAGCACATGGGAATGGAGCGGTCCTATTCAGCAGATGTTCGGGTCACCCGGGTTCTCAACGTCCCGTTTTGTTCACTGAGAACCTCTTCTAACCCCAGAGTTTTCGGATTCCCTCTATTTTCTTCTTCGCAACAAAAGAAATAAGCTGTCGGCAACTCCCTTCATCGGTTGTGGCCGTCCTGCGGGATAGTCGGTGGCTGTTTTTTTTTTTTTTTTTTTTTTTAAATAACAAATAATATTTTTAATTTTTAATAAATAAAAAATTTGTTTAAAAACAAATAAAATAAAAAGGGCACGTGTCAACACCGCACATATTTAACCTGATAAACAAGTCAATTTAGACTTAATTGATTAATTTATCAATTTAAGGAACTTAAATATAACTTCTTTTTTTTTTTTATATATATTTAGGGGACCTAATTGAATTATCCAATTGACTTAGGGCCAATTTGACCCTTAAAAGTATTATTATTGTTGTTGTTGATGATGAAAAGATCGAAATTATGAACATTATATTCAATATAGGAAAGAGGAAGTTTCTGCGGGATTGTGAAGGCGGGCCGTCGCTATTCAAAATCATCACAAAATTAAAGGTGAGATGAGAGGAATAGTCATTTCAAACTTTGGCCGTGGTGGTCGTCGTCGACGCGTTAGGACGACTTAGGCGTTACCACTGTAATATGTTAATTGGTCCTCGTATCAATTAAATCACATTCTTTGACATTAAGACCCTCCACTAGTGTTTTTTTTTTTTTTTTTCATTAGCTCCAAGATGACATAATATAAAATTCTTAAACAAAATCAATATTATAATTGGTATGTTAAAAAAAAAACAAAAAAAAAAAAAAAAAAAACAACAAGAGTTGTACTTGTACTCGACCTTTATTTCATATAGGAAAAAACATCAAATAAGTCATCAAACTATTAGTGTTTGTGCAATTGGGTCATCGAACAAAAAAAGTGCAATTAAACCATTTAACTCTATAAAGTTGTGTAGATAGCATTTTTAGCAAGTTACTTTCAGATTAAGCAGGTAAGATGGATGGCATGACATCTAATCTTATGTGACAATTTTACTATTTAAATCAATTTACTATGAGTTTAATATTCAACTCTACCCAAAACACATATTCAATCTTCTTCATCGTCAAACTTTGTACAGTACAATCAAGGCAACTTGCAACCATGCACTCACATAGGCAGATGGCCCCACTCCCCTCTCTCTCTCTCTCACTTCGTTGCATTCGGCAAAATTGCTCAGCTCTGATCTTCTCCTCTTTCTTTCTCTAACCTTTGCCATTCATATATATACGCACAATTATTTATATAATATATATATATATATATATATATATATATATATAAGGGTTCAGATGCGGGTATAGCTTCTCGTGCAGTTGTGCGATTGACTCACCATAAGCATTAAAATGGTGCACCTTAAATACCCAAACCACGCACCTTAAACATACCAACAAAGCATCTTAAAAACACAAATCACATGCACATAAAGCTTAAGGCCGACGCAACCTAAGAACACAAACCACGCACCTAATGTTTTAAAATGGCGTACTTTAAGTTTCAACAAATCATGCACTTTAAGCATACAAATCACGCACCTTAAGAAGGAAAACAACGTACCTTAAAAAGGAAAATCACGCACCTTAAGCTTCAGGTTGACGCACTTTAAGTTTCAACAACTAGTCACCTTAAGCACACAAACGACGCACCTTAAGCACAAAAATTACGCACCTTAAGAAGGAAAACCACGCACCTTAAATTTGACCTAGATGCAAAAATTACCAAATTGTCACTGTGTTTTTTTTTTTTTTTGTTAACCCTGGACGTTGATTTAAGCAAAATCAATGGCTCAGATTTAACTGCACAACCGCAGAGACACACCCAATTGCACGGGAATTGAATTATATATATAAATAAATAAATAAATAAATAAATAAATAAATATATATATATATATATATATATATATATATATATATATATATATATATATATATGTATATTCAATAATAACAATAACAACTAGCGTCACTTATGCCTAATGGTGTTATTTCTTGACATCTTCTCAGGTCATTGGCAAGTATGCTTAGAAACCAGTCCAAAATTACCAAATATATTTGTGGTGCTTACATTTTGGTCTAACATTACTTTTACAAAATAGCTGCCAATTTAATAAATTTGACATCTAAGTAATAATTAATTAATGAGGGTTAATTAAGTTGATGTAAATGACACAAAGATTCTTTATTGTTTCCTCAAGTTTTTTGTAGCATGCATGAGCTAAGTAGTGATGCATCTATTTATCTTTCTGTAAATCCCCAATTAGCCCTTCCTACTTTACTCATGAATTTTTATAAATGAAACATTCATATATACTTTCGAATTTTTACCCTTGCTTGGTTATTAAGAAAGACGACATTCGGTGAGCCCACATGGACAGTTCAATTGATCACATGGATGAAGTTTGGGAACAATGATTCGAGATCGAGTCTCACAGCGACAGTGTAGGAGCAATCTCTCAAAGTGAGAGGGGCTCCTTGTGCGCAATAAACAAAGATCTAGCATTTGTGTTCAACTGATTAGTTATCATCCTTTCAAAGTGAGAGGGATCTAGCCTTTGTATTCAATTGAGTTATCATCCTCTCAAAGTAAGAGGGATCTAGCCTTAGTGAATAAAGATCTAGCCTTTGTGTTCAACTGATCAGTTATCATCCTCTCAAAGTGAGAGGGATCTAGCCTTTGTATTCATCAACTGAGTTATCATCCTCTCAAAGTGAAAGGGGCTCCTTGTGCGCAGTAAGCAAAGATCTAGCCTTTGTCTTCAAGTGAGTTATCATCCTCTCAAAGTGAAAGGGCTCTTTGTGCGCAGTAAGCAAAGATCTAGCCTTTGTGTTCAAGTGAGTTATCATCCTCTCAAAGTGAGAGGGATCTAGCCTTTGTATTCAACTGAGTTATCATCTTCTCAAAGTGAGAGTGACTCATTGTGCACAGTAAACAAAAATCTAGTTTTTGTGTTCAACTAAGTTATCATAATTTACATCATCCCAGATATTCTGTTGAGTTGAGGTTGAGATTCAACCTGTTGGAAACAACAACAAAAAACATTCAGTGATAATAACGTCATTAAAATAATTCGGTCGTATTAAAATTTTGATTTATGTCTCAATGTTATTCGGTGACACTAATGTTATTAAAAAATATTTGAGGTGAATTTAAATGCGTGCGAATAGAAAAAGTAAATAATTTAATTAATGAAAAACTAATAAAGAAAATACTTCATCAAGATATTTTAAATCGGTAAAAAAAATAAAATAAAATCTTAACCTTACATATTTAATAGGTTAATAATAATAATAATAATAATAATAATAATAATAATAATAATAATAATAATAATAATAATAATAATAATTATTATTATTATTATTATTATTATTATTATTATTATTATTATTATTATTAATTCTTACTTATTTTTCTCAATAAATAGCCATGCTAATTTTTGTTCCTTTAATTGTTTTTGGTGTTCTCTCAAATTTTAAATTAATTTACTTAGACTCTAATAAAACTTAATTTGAAACGTTAATTTTAGTAACAGTTCGAATTAAACTAGTTGCTACTAACTTTTAAACTTTTAACTTTAAGCTAATTATGCCAAACATAACTTTAATAAATTTATCAGAAACAAATGTTTAATAAGGATCCAAAATTTAAATAGGAGATTTCCAAATTGTAGCTTTTATGTAAGAAAAAATATTATGAGTAATTTTCCATTAAGTTTTTTCTTTTTTAACTTTTTTTTTTAATTACTACATATCAATAAATATGAATACAAATAGAAGGATTCATCTCTTATTTTTGGTTTGATTTTCTTATTTCTGTAACGACTAACGACTGTAACGAGTCCATCCATATTTGTTATTACTATAATTTATACAGTAATTTTTTTGAACTTAAAATTAAATCGTCACAAATGATATATGGAGGGATAAATCGTCACAATCGTGGGATGAAGGGACACAACGAGACGTGGGGCAAAACCGTCAAACAAGCATCTCTTATTTCCTTTATCTTTATACAGTGGTTGTTCTGTCCATCGAAAGTGAAAGTCTGAACAACGAGAGACCATCTTCCACCCTTCAAACCTTTCGTCTTTTTCTCCGAAATATCATTGGTTGATTTATTCTTCTTTTTTAATTTCTCATTTTTTGATTTTATTTGGGTGGAACGTCAGCCCGAAATTCTTCATTTACTATTTTTGGGCTGTTTTGTGGTCTTCAAAGAGTAAAGATCAGCTTCAGACGAGCTGATTTCTGGAGGTTTCTAACACAATTCGGGGAATCCGAGGTGAGGGAATTTATGGGTTTTCATTTATTTGATCAGTGAAATTGTCTTTCTTGAATTGGGTATATGAATATATCAAACATTTCACGAACAATTTGTAGGCTCGCTCGCCTAGATTTATATTATGAAACTTCTTTGAAATCGTTAGTTTCTGTGTTGCTGACCCTATTGTTATTAGGCATGGGATCCTTTACGAGATCTATCGATGCGGGTTGTGATTGATATTGGCTATGGGTTTTGATGTTTAATTGTTAAATTGAATTCTTTTGTTATGTTTGTGGGGTATGTGTTCTGATTTTAGTTTTAATGTTTTTCTCTTTCAAGGAATTTGGTTTGATTGGTTTAGGGAATGATGGGAAGTTGTAGTCCAATAGATGGAGATGACTTCTTTGATAGCCATGAAGAAGAAGAGATCAGTTCTGATTCGGTTTCAGCTTGTTATGAGTCAAATTTTAGTCCCAGGAATGCCAATGATGTTTTAGGGTATGAAATTTGGACTAAGAACCCAGAAAGTGTTGATGAACGTAGAAGTAGACTTTTGAATTGGATGGGGTTGAGTTCTGATTTGAGCACTACAAATAACGATGAATTCAATGATGCATGTTCTGATGAAATCAAGATGGATGATAGAACTAGGGATAATGGTGAAACTGTACTGGCAAACTCGGATTCCGAAGACAATTTCTTTTCTGGTCGGTTTTCTCAATCTCCCCGGTCAAATGAAGCTTCTGAACTGGCTCAAGATGATGCTGAGGTGGAAAACTATTCTTGGAAAATTAGGAATTTGGATAATGGATCGGAGTTTGTGGTGGATGAACTGGGTCAGGATGGCACACTTAGTCGGCTACGTGAAGTGGGTTCGAATAAAGTGATTCAAACAGCCCTCGGGTCTTCAGCTTTGGTGCAGAAATTATTGCGCCGGGATTCAAAGCAATCCGATAATGGTGTTACGAAGAAGAAATTGAAAACAAGTTGGTTTCAGAAGCTAGCTTCTGTCGCTCATCTTGACGATAAAAGTCACAAGACAAAGGGAGCTCATTTGAATTCCAAGGGGTCTATAAAGGCTTCTGGCACCAGCATTCAAAGAGTTCGAGTTCATGCATATAAAAAACATTCGAAAGAATTGTCCTCACTTTACACCGCGCAAGAATTTCACGCTCACAAAGGCTCAATCTTGACAATGAAGTTCAGTCCCGATGGTGAGTACCTAGCAAGTGCTGGAAAAGACGGAATTGTGCGTGTTTGGAAGGTGGTTGCTGCCGAAGCTCCTAAGGATCTGAACAGCCAGGATGTCGATCCTTCCTGTTTGTACTTCTCACTCAGCCATTTATCTAAATTAGCTTCGCTCGACATTGATAAGGAGAAGATAGTCCAGCTGAAAAAATCGAGAAAATCATCCGAATCAGCTTGTGTCATCCTCCCACCAAAAGTATTCCGGATTCTAGAGCAACCAGTACATGAATTCCATGGGCATGTGGATGAAGTTTTGGCCCTTTCCTGGTCAAGAAATGGGGTTAGTTTCATCTTTATTAAAATTCTATATATTTTGGTTTTTGTTAATGGCTTTATTTGTAAAGTTGCCTAGAATGGAGTCCACTGTACTAATAATTTGAATGGGAATGTTCACACTGCAGTATTTGCTGTCGTCCTCTGTTGATAAAACAGCTCGTCTGTGGCAAGTAGGACATGATCAATGCCTTGGTGTTTATCCGCATAATAACTATGGTGAGCCTATTTTATTTATTTATTTATTGTTTGGGACAGACCACGAGGTGTAGGAGGCACCTTTAAGCCCTACCATACTCAAACTAATCCCCGTTCGCACTGGGCTGGCCCAATTAAGGGGCAAAGTACTGGCCAAATCATAATAACTGTGATGGTGTTTGTATTGTATGCCTTTGCCTGTGTATTTATTCTTTTGCTCTTTATGCAGTCACCTGTGTGGAATTCAGTCCTGTGGATGATAACTATTTTATTAGCGGTTCAATTGACGGAAAAGTACGTCTTTGGGAGGTGCAGCGTAGCCGAGTGATTGATTGGACTGATGTTAAAGAAATCGTGACTGCTGTGTGTTATTTCCCTGATGGAAAGGTTTGATTAATATCTTTCTTCTTTTGAAATGAAGGGTTTAACTTTAGTTTTGGATTTTAACGGCAACTTTTTGCTGGTGCAGGGTGGCGTTGTGGGATCCATGGATGGCAATTGCATATTCTATGATTTAGTAGGTGCGTATACCCTTTAATACTTTCTTCTTCCTCGCACTTTTTAAATCGATGCCAGCATGCCAAGTTACACACCTTTTTAAATTGTTGCCCGCCTTTTTCAGGTAATCGTTTGCAGATGGGCTCTCAAGTGAGCTTGGAAACGCGAAAGAGAATAACTGGATTTCAGGTAATAATCCAATATGTATACCGCAATTTTATTTATTTATTTTTTCTTTGATTGGTTTTATGAACTGAGGAAAATTTATTGTCACATTCTCTAGTTTTGCCCGAACGATGTGAGCAAAATTATGGTTACTTCTGCTGATTCACAAGTTAAAATACTTCATGGCTCCAACATTATCTGCAAATTCAAAGGTGAGTTTAGTATTCGCATCCCAGATAAGACATGGTTTCATGGTATCCACTCCACTTAAGATAATGTTTCCTCGTCCTACAGGCAGCCGAAATTCGGGAAGTCAAGTTCCTGCAACGTTCACGTCAGATGGGAAGCACGTCCTCTCCATCTCCGAAGATTCAAACGTTTATATATGGAGCTATACTAGCCAGGACCAAACCGCTGCTTCTAACAAAAAGAACGTATGGTCATCCGAGAGTTTCTTCTCCAACGAGGCATCAATCGCCATACCCTGGTGTGGGTTCGAGACCAACTCAGCCACACTGCTGCCCGGGAGGGCTCTGGCAAACGGGGACATCAATGAGAAGAGGCTGTCGTCTTCCCCAGACTGCTTCTCTTTGAGCCGCAGTTTCTTCCTGGACTCGTTGAACAAGGGGTCCGCGACATGGCCAGAGGAGAAGCTGCCGGATTATTCGAGCCCAGTAACGGTGTCGCCTTCGATATCTAAGCCGGATTACAAGATTTTGAAGAATGCTTGGCAGAGTGCTTTTAGTTCTCCCAACTTATGGGGGCTTGTGGTGGTGACTGCTGGGTTGGATGGAGTCATCAGAACATTTCTCAACTATGGTTTACCAATTCGTTTCTGAGATAGATCTGTTGCCATGGCGATTGGAAGTTGAAGACTGGAAAAAGTATAGGTTACAGGCTTCTTCTAATGTATAGCTATAATATTCATTTTGTCCAAAAAAAGGGGGAAAATTACTTATAGCGTTGTTTTTTTAAGGTAGATATATGTAATGTTGTATAAGCAACAACTAAATTGAGAAATATACATTAAATTATATGGCTCCAATTTAAAATGACATATTCATGACTGTTCCAAAATATTATTTATTAATTAATTACAAACGTTAAAAAAAATGGCATTTTGTTTCGCACACGAAATTGACTTGTGAAATTGTGAGGCCACGACAATGGGCCCAAGACCATTGGTTCCAATCGTTATGCTATGGACCCTTGTTCAGCCCCGTATCCAGCATGCATGCTGGACAATGGATACGGATAACAATACCGTTAGTGGCACTGTTATCTTTTATTTTATTTTTTTTTTAAATTTCAGACCGTTTCGTTATAGGAGTATATGTTCATAATTTTATTACTATATGTTCATAATTGTAAGTTCATAATGTAAGAGCTCTATGTTCATAATTCTATAATTGTACATTTATACTTCTATGTTCATAATTTTATCACTATATGTTCATATTGTAAGTTCATAATGTTAGAACTCTGTGTTCATAATTTCATAACTGTACATTCATACTTGCATAACTGTACATTCATAATTCCGTAACTATACATTCATAATTCAATAACTGTACGTTCATATACTATTACTTTGTTGACTCAAATTTAGTTTCACATATGAAAGATACGGAGTATAAGTGGCTATCTTCTGATTTGAATATTAAAATGGAATCTCACTCTTCGTAGTGAGACGAAAAAATTGATATATTACACACTCAAAATAGATAATGAGTGAATCGGAAATTATACAAAGTAGAGACTCATTTCAGTTGGAAAAATGAAGGTGGAAAGGCCTTATAGCATAGAGGTTTTTTCTCGCGCTCAAGGAGTGCAAATCAAATTCCTATTCATGTACGCTAGCACATGCAGGCACGAATGTAGTTCGAAAAATTGATTGACTTTTTCCAAATCAGTTGCCACTAAAGAGTTTGACTGAGTAGTAAAATTTTACTCTTCGAATTACTATTCATACGTAACTTTTCGTGGGTACTACTCGATCTACTATTCGTGAGTATTGCTCAAACTATTCTTTGGAGTACCATTCTAAATGATTTAGTTATGACTTTTCGGAATTAATTACGAATTAATTCTATTTTTAATTTAAATTAAATTCTAGGTTAATGGGTTGAAGGTTACATATTGGTTTAAAATCATTGTTAATGTCATGTTTAATGCTTATTAATTTCCTCATTTTCTATAAAAAGCCTTGTTGTTGGCAGATGTTTTTGCTAGTTTTTGAAGAATCAAAATTATGTTGTTGCTCTCTCAAAACCTTTTTCGTGAAATATTCTGTCAACAATTTCGTAAATTGTATGGAATGCTCGCCTGGTGTTCTTGTTCACCGAGTTTCTAGTTTAAGTTCTCAAACTTTAAGTTGTAATCCGTTTTATCCTGGAAAACTGAGGCTACAACGCTTCTAACTCCATCGAGTTTAAGGAAAGTGTGTGTTGCACACGACTCAGATTTCTCCTTTTCTCATTTCTTGTTCATTGGGTTTATATTAAAAATTATAAAATTCTTGTTCGTTAATATATATATATACATACATATATATATATATATATATATATATATATATATATATATATATATATATATATATACACACACACACACACACACACACACACACACACACACATATATATATATATATATATATATATATATATATATATATATATATATATATATATGATACTGTTACTTGCACTTTTAATACACTTTACTTGCAGTTAGGTTCACTATATGATACTGTTACTTGCACTTTTGACACAATTTATTTGTACTTCAAAGTTCAATTATTTATGAAAATACCACCGCATTAAAAAAAAAAAAAAGTATCCCTTAAATCTGGACACGTAGACGACTGCGATTGGTTCACAGTTTCTCACTTGATCCGTCTCCTATATATATATATATATATATATATATATATATATATATATATATATATATATATATATATATACACTAATATTTTTTTTATGCGCAAAAAGTATTTGCCCAATATTAATATTTTATATTAAAATTTTAAACTTATTTATATTTTAGATATTTAAATTATCGTAAATAATAATAATAATGTTAAACATTTTTATAAATTCTCCTGTCGTGGTGCCTCCGGCCCCACCCCTTTGAAAGACTTCGTCCCCCTATGAATCAACGTTTGGGCCCCCAGGATGCAGATCGACGCCTTGTCTTTGCCTTTCTTGCCATGGACCCGGATAGTCTGTAGCTTGGCTCTTAAGCTGAGAGAAGCGTCTACCTCGGGGATAGAAGCGGATGTTTCAACGGCTCGCTCGGTGACAGTGGCCGGATTGGTACCTTCTGTTGCAGATGGTGGCAGCACGGTAGACGACTTCTTCCCGAGCGAGGCTTTAGCTTGGGGGGCTCGGTTGCTACCAGAGGCTGGAGTAGGGAATCCGCGAGCTGGACCCATATCTGTAAGAATGAGCAAATAATTTTATAAATTTGGGAATAAGAGTCATAATAAACCTGGGGGGGGGGGGGGGTGATGAGAGTTAACCTTCGTCAACCGGGACGCTCGGTTGATGAGGTATGATGGTTCTCGCGACTGTAGGTTTCGGCAAGTACTTCAGCTCCAGGTCATACCGTGGTGGAGGGAATCGAGCGTTGTCATAAGCCTCCCTCGTCCGGAAGTATTTGTACTCGTAGTATTCGCAGGAGATGCGGGATGTGGCTTCTTGAAGGGCTTGGGTGGCTGGAGGTTGGATTTGTTTTCTAAAATGTGATGCCCATGTCCTCTCGACCGGGAGGATCCAGGGCTCGTATTTAACCGAGAAAATCCTATTCTTCCACCCTCGGTTGTTTCCCGGAAGATCTGGAATCGAGCAGAGATGCTCTCGAGATTGTGCCATAAGAAAGCCCCCCCCCCCCCCCCCCCTCCCCCGGTATTTGGCCGCTAGTGGCTTTACAGTGTAGATGAAGTTGAATAACTCCATGGTGCACACCGCGTTATGTCGGGTGCAAATCTGAGGAAAACAGGCAATGATTCGGTGAGTGTTCGAGCAAATTTTCCCCGGCAACACTTGCTAATAGCCTAAGAAGGCGGTCAAAAAAGGGGAGAAAGGAAAAGTTATCGGGGCCTTCATAGAGTCATAGTGAAGCCCGATCCATTTGCCTTTGTGACGTTCTTTGATTCCACCAGATGACCGCTTGGTGTCAAACGTTACCCGACCGTTTAGAAGGGCTGCGATATCGGCCACTTCTCTAGTCGTCAGTAGGCACTGTTGTCGATCGACGCTCTCGCTGTTGAGGAAAACCATTTCTACTTCCTCGACCGCACCTGGAGCGGTCCCAGCGCCGGCCCCAGATAGGGCTCCTACTGAACGAGGCGACAAGTGAAGGCCGGGCCCAATCCCAAGCGTTTGGGTAGGCGTTTTCGGTTCATCGAGCGTTAAGGAAGTTTCTGGGGATTTAGAAGTTTCTTCGTCGCTGTTTGTCGAGTGCTCCGAGTGTTCAGAAATTCCCGGTGTTTTCCCGATCGCGGGAAATGGTCGAACGCTCACCGTCGCTTCTGACGATTCTTCAATCATCGTCTCCTCGCTATCGATCTCTACGGCGTCGTCGTAATCCGCCACCGAGGCGTTTTGGCTATCTGAGCTTGGCATTATCCTTCATAAAGGATAGGGCGGCGTTTAAAAGTTGAGGATTGGGTCATGGGGGCGAGCGAGGTAAGAATTAAAAGGCAAAGAAAATAAAGCCAAAGAAAGTAAGTTAGTGAGGAAAGTGGTAGAAGCTTACCGATCAGTTGTTGAGAGCCTGAAGAAGCGAAGACTAGAATTCTTGGTTGGCCAAAGAACGAATGGGTCGGGAGCGTCTGAGAGATTCTTACAGCGGTGAAAGAGTAAACGGAACCCCAAGGCCTCTATTTATAGAGGGTAATTTGGGCGGGAAACGCCATAGTGTACTCGAGAAGCTTCTCGCAGATCACGAGGCAATCGCAAGTGGCACGTGGCGTGACGTCGGTAAGTGATACACGTGGAAGCGATCGGTACGGAGGCCAAGTGATGACCTGGCTTCTTCATCCTAGGTCGTTTCTTCCCGAGTCCTCAAAACGACCCAGGCTGGGGGGGCTTTTGGTAGTATAAGTCCCGACCGAGAGCTCCACGTGTACTTTCCATAGCCTCGATCCGTCCGTCGATCAGTTAGCCCGACCGCCTTGCCTTCGCTATAATAAAGAAGGGACAACACGTGTCAATAGAAGGAGCTGACAAAGAGCTAGAGTGGCATGGTGACACGTAGGGGACACGCGTGCAACATGCCGATGAAGAGTAAAACTATAAATACCCTTCGATAGCTTGAGTTAAGGGACTTTTGGAAGATCAAAGAGACTTAACCCAAAGCTGCCCGACCGCACCCAGTCGGTCCTCGAGTTGAGTTGTGTAGATTATTCTTAGGACCACGTGTATTAACACTATCAATTATTGTTCACTTTGATTTTCTTTCATCTTTATTTAATTATTTATGATGATTATATATGAAGTTCCTAAACCCTTGATATTCCAACTCTCAAATGCACCAAATGGAGGGAAAATTTTTTCACTGTGATTCTGCTTTATTATATATATACTAGTATTGTCCCGTGCGATGCATGAACTAAATATTAAAGATTTGTTTGTAATGTTAGAATAGGTAAAAAATGTTTTTAATAATGGTATTTGAAGTACAGAAGAAGAAAACATGAACGACAATTTAATTATTTAAAATTACATTTTTATTAAATATATGACAAAATAATTATGATATTGTATTTATAATATTTAATTTAATAATTGAAAATAGTATGATACAAAAAGTTACTATTATTAATCACAGCTAGCGGTATATATATTTGATTTTGAGTATGTCTACTCCTAGTATACTACCTATGCGATGCACGGAATGAATATTGGACAACATTATAATAATATTATTTATTAAAAAATACATAACATAATATCAACATACTTGCAATTCATATTCATATTCATATATATATATATATATATATATATATATATATATTACAATAATAACAATAACACTAACACTAATAATAATAA